TCGTGGACATCATATCGGCCGGTAACGCCGACAATAGGACAAAACACGCCCTCTTCGGTTTCCATCCCACCTTGCCGTTGTTCCCCATGTACTACAACAACCCTGCCAGATGGGCGTCCGTCGAAGCCGACTACAAGGTGTACATTGCGTCGGTGTTGCAGTTGGCTGGATACTCTGCCGAGCAAGCTGCGGCGGCCGTGCCTGTGATCATCCGTTTTGAGCTATCTCTGGCCGGTGCCACTGTCCGCAAGCGCGAAGATACGAAAGCCGTGGTCCCAGCGTACACTTCGTTCACGTTTCACGAACTGGACCAAAAGTACCCGCTGCTCGTCGGTTCGTGGCTCAAGGGCAACGGCTTCAACGTCCGCGACAAAAGCGGCGGGGCGACGGACTGGGTTGGGTTTTACAGCTTGAGCTACTTTGACAAGACTGAAGCGCTGTTGAAGAACACGTCATTGGAAGACCTCCGCACCATCGTGGAGTACAAGCTCATCCACGCCTCGTCCACCCACCTGACCCCTGAATTCCGCACGGCCAACTGGAACTTGTTCGGCAAGAAGATTGGTCGCCAAAAGACGGAACCTACTCGTGAAAATTTCTGCATGCATCAAGTGCACACCACCGTTGGGGAGCTCCTGGACAAGTACTATATGGACGCGGTGTGGCCGGCTAGCACGGCCAAGACGGCTGACGAAATGGTCAATGCCTTGAGATCTTCCTTCTCCACTGGTATTGCCACCGCGGACTGGTTGGACAACTCGACCCGCACCAACGCGCAAACCAAGTTGTCAAAGTTTGTGCACTTGCTGGGGGGGTCTGAGAAGTTGCAGGTGTACCCCACCTTGACGTTCGACTCGAAGGCGTACTTGAACAACCGCTGGAAGGTATCGCAAGTGAACCTCGACACCAACTTGAAGCTGAACGGCCAACCTGTGGACACGCGCAGCTTCGGCATGTCCCCCCAAATGACGAACGCGTACTACAGCACCCGCAATAGGGTCAGCCGAATTGCATTCCCAGCTGGCATTTTTCAAAACCCGTTCTTTGACGGCGAGTTCGATGCTGCTCAGAATTTTGGGGCCATCGGGATGGTTATCGGCCACGAAATCACCCATGGGTTTGACAGTACACGCCGTAACTTTGATGACGACGCCAACTTGAACCCGCAGTGGTCGAATGTCACCTCCGTTGCGTTCAACAACAAGGCTCAGTGCATCGTCGACCAGTACGCCAAGTTTGTCGTCAAGAGCGAAGTGAATGGCACTGTGTTGGGCAACCTCAACGGCAGCCTCACGTTGGACGAAAGCATTGCTGACAACGGCGGGCTCAAGACCAGTTTCCGAGCGTACCACGAGTACTTGAAGAAGTACCCATCGCAGTACACGGAAGAAACTGGGGACAAGTTGTTCTACTTGTCGTTCGCCCAAGCCTGGTGCTCCAAGAACTCGGACGCCCGCCTCACCGCGTCCTTGTCGGCCTCGTACCCGCCTAGTCGATTCCGCGTCACGGGGGCGTTGCAAAACAATGCCGAGTTCGCCCGAGTGTTCAAGTGCCCCACCAACTCGTACTTGAATCCGTCCAACAAGTGCTTGTTGTGGGAATAGAAGGGTTTACTACTGTAACTAGTTAGTAATAATGTAAATGAAATGTGTCGTTTTGTGAATGTTAGCATTTACCAGGACCTTACAGGTAGGTCTTTTCAGTGACTCCATGAAGCAAACTGCTTATAGATTGTAGTCGGGGACGGAAATGGCGTTGCTGGTAAAGTGTCTGTCTGTTGAGAAACATGACTTGGAGGGTCGTGCAGTTCTTGATTGGTCAAGGACTGCCAATCATATGCAGTTATCACGAAGCAGCAGTCTGTGAATTGGCAGTCAGATTTAAGGAGACGCGTTCGACTTCCGATTTTAGCAGATAAATGGGACGCGACCGCGAACGGACACTTGCAAAACCTCTCTTTATCGATTTGAGTCAGGTTGTTGGGTTGATTACTCAATATTCTGAGGCCTCGCTCGGAAATAATCCAGCATTTGCTCGAAAATAATGCACACCCCACAATAGCGCACGACTTGTCGCCACGACGATACAATCACCCCGCCATCACAGCACCCACCACAATACTGAACACGTCATGACCACACGACTTGCCGCCACAACGAAACCAGCAGCCACAATACAAGTTATCGCCTCTACAACCCTTTTCGTCATGACTACTGTACATGTACATACCGCCACCACATCACGTCTGCCACAACCACAAAACAACCCGAGTTCTCCGGTACACACAATTCACAAAATAATAAGGGTAAAGTGATTCATGTAATTCCTGGCCAGCTTGGCCTACTTTCTGAGTGCCATAACTCGTCACCAGGCTGCGAACACTGTAACGTTACATGCATTTTGATTGGTTAGGTACTATAGGAGCTTGTTTGAAGATCGCGACGAGGTTTATAACTTTATGCAGGTCCCATCATTTATATCGCATGGTTAATTTGCTCTTCGAATTTCTAAAATTGAAATTTTCCTATGTGACTGTGAATTTAAATCTTGGTCGGTAAGTCACTTGAATAATACCTAGTACATGCCTTATTCGGGTGACAAAATCCTCAGAACCTCGTAATAATGATATGAAATAAAGTGTTCAAGTAATTCAATTTAGAAGTGTAACTACTGATTTCCCCCCTTATTCGAAACGGTGCAATTTCAACACTTTCAAGAGTTTATAAACTATTGCAGGTATTATTTGTTAAAACAATGAAGCACAGCCAACTATTCATCACTAGGAGTCCCTACTTGCAGTCCCGCAATATGAGCGCTGAAAGCAGACAGGTCATCATCGACAATACCAGTGCGTGTCCAGCAATTCTGAACTGTTGGTATAGACATGGATCGCCACGCATTCTGTTTCATTGGCCTCAACCAATGGAACTTCGTACAAGCGCTCCTGACGGCCGGACATCACCAGCTCAATTTGGTCAAGGGCGTTTTGGAGCTGGCGCTGCTTGACCTTCGACTTGAACGCAACAATGATCCCTGCATCTTGAGGTTACAGGTAAGCAGTGGTATTCGTTGGCAGCATTTGAACTTTGATGTTTGTCAACAGCGTGTCGTCAAGGACGTGATGGGGAGGGGCGTTGTCCAACAGCATCGGGGTCTTGTTCCGCCATCCTTGCATTCATCGACATCACGCAGGTGTTGAATATGTCCCCATTCATCCATCCTTTCTTACTCGGCTGGTAGTAGAAACCCAACTCTCGCGCCGTACGGCCGTTGAAGCATCGTGGCTGAACGGCAGTTCCAATAAAGAGGAGGTCGACAACGTCAGAACCGTCCGCGTTCGTGGTAAGAGCAACGGTAATTCTCTTTTTAGATTTCTTTGTTCCTGGCACATGATTTCGTGTGATAGAGCGGTGCGGTGACATGCAGTAGAAGAATGCAGTCTCGTCCATGTTGTACACGTTGGCCTTATCGTAACCACTCGTTGTGTCTAGCATTTGCGCCTGGCGTTCTTGTACAGTTTCTGGCGTTGTTGAACCGGCCTCTCCATGCTGCAGTTTACTGGTAAGGCCATGTTTCCTTTGAAACTTGTATAGCCACCCTTTTAAGAACAATGGACGCTGCTGTGTAGGCAGTGCATGGCGTCGCAGAACACATTGGCTTGCTTTCGAATGAGCTCGCCAGTGATACACACTCCTAACTCCTCGCATCGCAGTACCCACTGAACCACCCTCGATTCGACGTCTGAAGTAGGACCTTACGGTCATTGGATCGTGCTTTTCTGTCGGCGGGTTGATTGCGCGTGGCGTGGCGGTGGATGATATTGCTAACAGTTGATTTGGCGGGTGTGGATGCGAGTCCAAATTGGGTTGCGGCCCACGTCCCCAACTCGGCATAGGAGCATTGAGGATTTTGTAAATGCTTAACATAAAGCTCGTGTTCCTCGTCCAATGTCAATCGCAATTTCATTTTGTTAACAGTAAAGTAAAGCAACCATAGACAACTTTCAAATATTAAATCTTACAAGTATTGCGGCCATCGCTCTTGTCACGCTTCTACATAATACTGCTGATTCATGAGCTGTAGTTTGACCGAAACGACACTGATACACCTGTACTTACCTCATCGGTCGATGCACAGGATTCGTGGCGGATCGGCAGCAGGTTCGTTTTACTCCAGTGCTTTTAGCCAATGAAAACAAGTTGGACAAATTGCAATAAAAATATTTTACAAATACCCGACTTGGACGATCATGATAATTTTCGGTCATTGTTGAACGATCCTGGGAAATACCCTTTAAAGTAACCTGCAACGTGATATGCGGCATGGCATAGACAGGTTGGATCCTGCTGGTATCCTGTTCTCCCATAGGTACACAAAATAAGCCGGATGCGCCTATGGATGGCCATAATACTTCCTCGTATTTACGCTCTACATGGCACATATGCGAGTACAATTCCGCATTAAAACAGTTCCACTGTTGTTTTGACCCGAAATACTGAATCATTGAGTGTTTTTTTATGGAACTTTCTATGCTCAGACCACCTCACCTCTTACAAGGACTGCATCGCTTGTGGTTAGCTATCTGTGCGCGTGCGCAGAGGAAGTCGCAGGAGAAGGTAGAATCAAGAATGAATTGATAGCGTTAAGACTACTAAGCTACGCGCAACCAACCATTGATGTATCATCGGGAGAACACCTTGGTCGCGCAAGTGGACATGTTAGTAAGCGAAAGGACACCTTGGACTGTCGACTAATAATCAGGTTCTCAACCAGATGATGGGCACGGTTACACCCTCCCCTACTTAAGACAGAACGTGCCATCATCACGTGGTCTGAAATGAGACGGAACTGTGACGTGACAGTTGAGATTGGCGATGACAGACGAAGGCAAGAAGCGCAAGGCGAGCGAAGTCGTCGAGGATGCCAACGGCAGCGGGAAGAGGCCGAAGCGTCGGCGCCACGAGTAGAGGTAGTGGACCTCACAGCCGAGTTGGACGACGACGACGGAATGGCGCCGACCGAGGTTGTGGCCGACGTGGCGTAGCGCAAGGCCGACTGGGAGGCCAAGGCGGCCGTGAAGCGCGAACGGTTTGGGCAGCTGGAGTAGTAAGCGGCTGCGGACTTGGTGAAAAGCGCTATGCATACAGTGGGCACCGAAGGTGTGCAGAAGCTGCTGGAGCAGCACTTGATACGGGAGGAGGCTTCCTAGAAGGCGAGAGCTGCCGAAGAGGCGAAAGCGAAGGCAAAGCACACAGAAGAGGCCAAATCGACTGACGAAGCAGCCAAGGAGGTGTGACTGGGACACCATGGGGTGATGGGGAACATCCCGACGCTTCAGGTGTCGAGCGAAATGAATAAAAGGCGAGCGTCAAGGGAACCGCCGTGAAGACGGTGGCCAAATTGAAAGGCGAAGTTGGTGGACCGGAGCGGACCAGCCTCGCTCGAGACGAAGTGTTCGAGCATGAGTTGGGTTTCCATTGGGATTGCTCGCGGATTTTCACGCCTGTCGAGTGAGCCGGCGTGGACTTGGACTATGTGCGTAACATTACGCGCCGCTTGACTGTGGTCATCGAGTTTGACGAAACTCGAGACAGCTGGGGGTATCGGACGGCCAACGTTGCTGTCGTGGAGCGGTACCTGCGCTTGTTTGCAAGCGACAACCGTTTGAGCTGCGGGTGCTATGGATGCTGCTGGCCTTGGAAGGCATGCAGCTAGTGAGGGTGAGTTTTCATCGGTTCGACGAATTCAAGAGCGCCAAGCGCGAGTTATATGAACGGGACCGCCTTGAGCGCTGGACGGTGGACGTGGGGTCGATCGATCTTTGCAATGACGAGACATTGCTGGAGTATCTTGTAGCGTTTGTGTGGACACTCGTCGGGCAAGGCAGCGGGTTGCATGGGCAGTTGCCGCTGACAGCTGGGTGATTGTCCAACTCGCTGTCTAATTTCGCCGGGGTGCGGCGACCGAAGCATGGGCGTTTGGACGACTATCGCGCGGATCGCCGCCCGCATAAATATGTTGCGCGAACCCAAGGTAAGGTCTCTGTGATGGAGTCTTCTGAATGTCAAGTTGTAGTTGGCCTGGCTCGCACAGCGAACTGCCAACCCGTCGCTGTCCATCGCAATCCCACGATCGCTGTCGCGCGGTTCGAGATCGTGTGGTCGATCGGCGGTGTCTGGGTGGTCACCTACTTGGGGTCAAGCCACGGGGTCGACCGCGGCGCAAGCGCAAGCCTGGTCGAGCGTGTGGGCTTCTACGACCGCGAGTTCATCGACGTGGTCGCGCGAAGATGCATAGGTGCGGGCAACTGCTGCGCAGGTGGCAGCGCGATTGTCTGCGGCTCGGCCGGTTAATCCGTTTGCGGGGTACAATTCGCCACCGGGGCCTCAGCGGGAACGTCAATTCACAGAGGCGGAGCGGCAAGCAGCCGCAGATTCTCAGGCGGGAGCGCGGGCGATTGCGGCTCCGTTGCAAGTGGTGGCGAAGTTGGTGCGTCCGATGTCGCGGGCGTCAACGCTAGGGACGCCGGAGGAGGAGGAGAAGTCGCCGCGGGATCCAGAGCATCGTTTGCCGTCGCTACATCGGTCGTAGATGTAGATTATGGGGGTAAATACCGTTTGAGTTTACTCACATAAAATTTTGGATGGGTCTGCCATGATATAACAGATCGAGTTTGTAGTTGGTCCGACTGACCATGCGGAGGACGGTAAAGGGGCCGTGCCAAGTACTGCGGAGCTTGACGTTGGAGGACATCCCGACTTCGCGGATACGGAAAGCATGGACGGGAACCGCCGACTTGTGGTGGAGGACTTGGTCGCCGGCAGCGAAAGTCGCGAGGTTGCAGCAACCATGTTTGTAGGCTTGAGTTCATTGGTGCTGCTGAGCGGCAGCGATGCTGTGATGAATCTGTTGCATGGTTGAGACGCGGTGGGTTAGGAAGCTCTGGATGGTCTAGAGGGTGCGGCTGGAGACGTTGTGGAGTACACCCGCAGAAGAGAGCCACGCAGTGATTCCTGTCTCATTTGAAACCGAACCGTCGAGCATCGGTGGAAAGCGGGGGTGTTGGAGATGACGGCGTAGTGGGGTGAAAAGCCAGTGGACGCCTGAACCGAGGCGTTATAAGTGAACCATGATGCCGGTGTTGCCGCGGGCGTCGCGCGGCAGGCGAAACATGAAATCCATGCTGACGGACGACCAAAGTTCGTCGGGATTAGGCAAGGGTTGGAGAGGCGCCCGAGAGGAGGTGGTGGCCTTAATGCGCTGGCAAGCGTCGCAATGAGCGACGTAGCGCACGATGGATTTGTACATGCGGGGCCACCAGTACGAACGCGCCAAGACCGCGTGCATTTTGTCGCGGCCAAATGGCCGCCACTGGGGGAGTCGTGGTACGACCGAAGGAGAGTGAGGCGCAGTTGCGCGTCACCGGGCACGACAATGCGCGTGGGCGAGGCCGCGGTGGGTTAGAACATCAAAAGCCCATCAGCCAAGGCAACGCGATGCAAGGCCAACGATGAACGGCGGTGTTTGGGAGAGACTGGGTCGGTGAGCGCCGCCAGGCACGACGAGCAATCAGCGTCAAGGGGGTACGCCGCGCGGATCCGATCGTGAAGACGGGACGACAAATGACCGATCGTGGTCAGTTTGATATCGGGACGCCGAGACAGGGTGTCGGCAAGGATGTTGTCCTTCCCGGGCTTGTACTGGACCAAAAAGGTGAAGTCGGAGAAGAACAAAATCCAGATCCATGCGCTGTGAGATGTGACGTGTGTTGGTCGCCGTGCGTAAGGACGCATGATCGGTGTAAACCACGAAGGGTTTAACGCCGAGGAGGCAGATTCGGAACTTGGTGAGGGCGCACTTGATGCAGAGAAGTTCCAAATCGTGAACTGGGTACGCCCGCTCAGCTGCGTGAAGTTGGCGGCCTTGGTAGGAGACCGGGCGAGGCGACCGGAGGCGTCGAACTGCATCAGGCAGCAGCCTATGGCAAACTGCGAAGCGTCGCAGACGACGGAAAAAGGTTTGTCGAAGTCCGGGAGCGCCAAGTTCGGGGCGCGTTAAAGGTTGGTTTTGAGGCCTTAGAAGGCCGACTGACAAGCGGAATCCCAAACCCAAGGAGCATCCTTGACGAGAAGCCGAAACAACGGCTGGGCGATGTCCGCAAAGTTGTGCGAGTATTTGTGGAGGTACGTTGCAAGGCCCAGCCAGCGACGAATATCCTTGACCGAGGAGGGAATAGGCCACTCCGAAATGGCCTTGATCTCGTCGGGATCAGCCCGACAACCTTTCACCCCCACCAAATCTCCCAGGACTGGGATTTCGTCAATACCAAACATGCATTTGGCGAGGTTGACGTAGAGTCCGTTGACACGGAGGACTTAAAACACCTGGCGGAGGTGGCCGCGGTGAACCTCGTGATCGGGTTGTGCGGTCGAAGCGCAGCTGTGGACGTAAATGTCGTCAAAGTACGACGGTGCGAAGTCGCGAAACGGGCGGAACTTCGCGGTGACCATGCATATGTCGCCGCGACCCTGTGGCATGACCAGCCACTCCCATAACATGCCACTCGGCGTGGAAACTGCCGTTGTAGTGACGTCGCACAGACGTATCAGGATTTGGTAAAAACCATCGCGTAGTTCGATGGTGGAGAAAATGGTAGATCGACCCATGTCGTCGATAATAACGTCTTAGCGGTGAATCGGCGTCTGTGCCGGAATCGTGGCCGCGTTCAATTTTTTAAAGGCATGTACAATACGCCATTCACCCCCGGGCTTCATCACACAGAAGGTCGGGCTGCTGTGAGAGGAAATGCTGTCGCGGACGTGACCCGCCGCCTTGCGGGCCGCGAAGAAGGCGTCGATAGCATCGACTTGGTCGCGAGGCAGCGGTAATTGCCGCGTGACGCAATACTTAGTGCCGGGCACGACGTCAATCTCGTGTTGAACGCCCTTGTCGACGGAGAGTCGGCAGGGCACCTCGTCAGGGAAGACGCAAACTCCTTGAGGAGGTCGTAATAGGCTATTCACAATAATGAGGTACTTCTATCCGAAATAGTGTTCATGATAATTAAATAGTGTCCGACGTGGAAATATCCGGATATTTGGTTTCAGACCGCCGAATTTCCAAGTTACTGCCAAACCTATTCAGGAAGCGCCAATCTGATCAAAAGATGTACATTATTCGAAATAACTGGACTTCTTACGACTTTTGAGCATCTCCAAGAATACTTATTTCCCATTGGCTGCCGACTAAATATATTGACATGTCGGAGTCAAAGGACACAACTGCAGGCACAAAGGCCTCTCAAAAGTACAAACATAGCAAAGTACTACATAGTAGAATCTATACATCGTTGGTAATTAAGGTCACCGTAACGATCGGTCGCCTTCAAACCAATCGTTCTTGACGAGTGGAGTTTTACCATTCAGTTCAAAGTCATTGAAATACTTGGACAGCGTTTGACAGGCTAAATCCTTCAAACTTTACTTAAAATTGCCACCTAACATATCTGAAGGTGATACCCTACACGATGCATCGCTAATGTGTCCTAAGATTTCGAGTAATTGCAAAAGTGCAGACCGGGGTTTCGGGGTAGGAAGAAACTAGTGGTAAATTACTCAATTACTCGATAAATGACAAGATGCTGCTACATTTTGGAAATCTGGCAGTCTTTTGGAAATGATTGGATATTTAATTTGTTCAGCGGCTATTGTGATGGCCATCCGTCACTGACAAGAATATGACTGATTTCGTTTGATGCCTAGTTTTATCCTGACTCGTCCTTAATCTCACGATACATCATGCAAACTGGTTTTACAGTCAAATATAGTGCTGGCAAAAAGTTTAGGACCACCCCCAATTTAGCACATAGCCACCCCCAATTTAGCACATAGAACGGAGATTCGTTGCAATGGGAGCAAATACACGACACTACAGCTACATTGAGGTGTGTGGGAGGCTTGGACAACAACCTTGCAAGCTCAAACCACATTATCCGCGCCAAATCAGAAAAAAACGTGATAATAAAAAAACGATCCTGGCAAAAAGTATAAAACTACTAAGCCCATGCTACTCAAAACTACAACAGTATTCTGACAAAAAAGGTATCAATACTTAATAAACCTTACGATCAGTAGATGGGTTAATAAGCATCAGATCAAGTAAATTGGAAATAACCCATGCGACTTCCAATAAAACTCACCACTTGATTAGAGATCGACTAACTGACGAACTACTCGATCTCCGACGTGATGTAGTATCACAATTTCACCCACTCATACTATTCGGAATTTTCCTACTACCTGATTCTTCGTACATTGTACTGACAAGTTACTAAGTCCACAACTTTCTTCAGCCGTCTCACATCGTTTTCGGAGGTGAATCGATCCTGTTCGTACCCAAAACGTGTGCAAGTTGATTTCATGGTGACATATACGAAGCTGGTGTGCAAGCACATTGAATTTAACATGAGTTCGTACTGTAATCGTTGCGGTATCCCTCCTCCACAAGTGAGCCTACCACCACCAAAGTATTGACCGAAATATTACGTTTTATGATAAAATCTTTGAGATCCCAAGATGAGTACATTTTATGTTTCGCCAAAAATGTACTTATTAAGGAGATTCAATTAAAACCTGCATTAAAAACACAAAGTAGGTTATACGTGTATCCACATCATCGAGGTTGGCGCCCAAATCTGCACCTTTGGGGGGAATCAGCTTGTTGCAATTCACTTCCCCTCACTTCCCATTTCGCCAGACATGCCTATGAACACCAACGCCGTACTCAACCGTCTCCAAGACCAAGCAGTGCGAGATCAATCCTACCTTGAGTCATGTCTGCATGACTTTGGTGAGGTCTCGCACTTGCGTGACGACTGCGAGGACCCCCCCGAAAACCCAATGATGGACAAGTTCTTGATCGACTTGGGCTCTGAGGGTATTAGATCTATGACCAACTTTACCGTCACCGAGTTCGAGTCGCTGTGGGCAATGGTGGACGATGCTATGAACACTGCGTGGATGGAAGGTCGTGGCCGGCGCTCAACGACTAGCCCTAAGGACGCGCTATTTATGGCCCTCACCGTGTTGAAACACTTTTCAACATGGGAAAAGCACGCAGCTGACTTTGGGTACAAAGCACCAACCTTCGAGAAGCTCATCATGCGCGTCCTACACGCTGTTCAGCCTGTGCTCTACGGCGAATTGATTCGAGTTCCATCCATGTCCGACCTGTCCAACTCGGATCGACGATTTGACCATTTTACGTTCGCGTTGTATGCAGTCGACGTGAAGTTTCAGCCTGCACAGCGTCCAACGGGACGCTTCGCGGAGCAGAAACATTACTTCAGCGGGAAGCACCATCTATACGGTTACAAGATCGAGGCAAGCGTGTCACCGGAAGGCCGATGTGTCGCAATATCCGAGAGCTTCCCAGGATCTGTGCATGACCTGACGATATTGCACACCCGCACTGCCATTCACGAGACCAACCTGTTGAAGTCAGCGGGTGAGCAGGATGTGCCAGACTATGGTGAGTTGAGTACGCAGTACCAGGGGTCGTGGGCGTGTTTGGTCGACATGGGCCACATCGGAATTGCCCACTCGCTGCGGGGTATTCATCCGAAGCGTCGCCCGGTGCACGGCGTATTGGATGCCCATGACATGGATCGAAACCACGACATCTCCTCCGATCGGGTGGTTGTGGAGAACTTTTTCGGTCGCGTGTACACTCTCTGGAAGATTTCCTTGGCTACGTACACGTGGGGCGAGAAAAACTACAACACGATCCAGCGCACGAAGTTCGCATTGACGAACTTCCACCTCTCGTTGATGCCATTGCGCGCGGAGGACGAAGGGTTTTACAGGTCTGTAATTGCTCGTTACGAGCAGATGGCAAATGAGAAGAAGCGCAAGCGCAGTGAAGCTCAACGTCGCTATCGTTTGAATCGCCAAGAGCGATTGTCCATTGACAGCAACCGCGCTACACGCTATCCGTCGCCATCGATGAATCGTTCGAACAGCAACTATTCGATGATGGATGAATACTATTAATAAAACGTGTTTGCTGATCGATTTGATTTGGTTCCATAGGATTTAAATGATCGGCTACTGCATTTTTGATCAGTAACCTAGTCTCTTTCGAAGTTGCTGAGTTCTTGATTAAAATAGATATATCTAATTAGTAGCAAAGTGCATGCATATTTTGACATTTACTGATGAATTAAAAAACTACTTCGGAAGCACTACAGTCCAATTGTATTAATATCAGAAATATTGGAAGTTAGTCAGCTGCTGGTTTAAAGATGTAATGCCTGTCTGGCAACATCCTGAAAACGCCATTTTGGGCGTCAAAACTCCGTTTTGGACCCGATAACTCCATTTTGAGAGATAACCCCGTTTTGGGATATTTGTTGTCGCGTCTGGTAATAGTTGGACAGCTCAACTAATAATGGCGTTTTGGTCCACGAAATGGACTTTTGAAAATACACCTCACGAGGTGTATTTCGTAACGCCAATTTGAATTTACGCGCGCAATGCCGATCGCCAGCATTTTCCTTGGATCCGCCGCATGGTGGATGGCAAACTACGTTGTCAAGGAACCTTGCCACACTTCTGCCTTGAAAGCAGAGGAGTGGATTGCTGAGCTCTTAGGTGGCAACCCGAGACGGTTCCGAAAGCAACTGCGTATCCTTCCAAGCACCTTCCTGTCATTGCTGGACGTTCTCCAGAGACAACACTCACTCAAGCCGAGCAGATTCGTGTCTGCCAGAGAAAAGTTGGCAACCTTTCTCTTCATCTGTGGCCATGGGGCATCCAATCGCGACGCTCAAGAGCGATTTCAACGCAGTGGGTGGACGATCGCCCAGTCCATCAACGAGGTACTCGTAGTTAATCTGCTCATTTGATTTGATTGAATAGGTTATTGCATCACTATTGCATTTGTACCCAAGCGTTGTTGTCCCTCCTTCCAAGGACATCCCCTTCGAGATCCACTCCAATCCGAAGATGTTTCCCTTTTTTGCAAAGTGCGTTGGAGCCCTCGACGGCACACACATCCGTGCGACGCCTCCACAAGTTGGTGGAAAGCCTTTTCGGAATCGAAAGGGCTATCTCAGCCAAAACGTCCTTGCGGCGTGCACATTCGATATGCGGTTCGTGTACGTCCTTGCGGGCTCATCCTCGGATGGAAGAGTACTTGACGATGCTTTGACGGAAGGCTTTTCCATTCCAAATGGGAAGATGTTCTTAGGTACTATTTTGTTTGACAATATCGTATAATGTTGTCTAGGTGACGCTGGATATGAACTTAAGACCAACTTGATGACCCCATACCGTGGCGTGCGTTACCATCTGCGCGAATGGAGTGCTAGTAATCAGCGGCCTCAAAACGCAAAGGAGCTTTTCAACCTTCGGCACGCCCAACAACGCAACTGCGTTGAGCACATCTTTGGTGTCTTCTGGACATGCAGCCAGAATACCCGTTTCAAACCCATTTGCATCTCGTTTACGCCCTCTGCGGGCTACACAACATCATCACGGAACTCGAAAGCGAAGGCCGACGAAGCCAAGAAAAAGCGTGACCGTCGGCTCATGCGACGGAGAGCGAATCGGCAAAATCGACGTGCGGTTGTCATTGCGGAAGAACTTCCATCTGAAGCAACTAACTTGAGAGACGGCATTGCGAGAGCTATGTGGCAGCAGTACACAAATTTCATTGGAGAAAATAATCAAACCAATTGATTGACACATTTTTAGCTACCCATGCATTACGAGCTGCCCCACGAAGAGCCATGAATATGGTTGCATTGAACCCCTCACCCATCATGTCCACCAATCGTACGATGTCGTCGCCGTCCAATTCATCGTAGTTGTCCATAAGGCACTCGATAGCCGCTGTAACACGGTCATGGGGGCTGCTTTGGCCATGAACTTTGGCTGCTTCAACGTCGACAAGTTTGGATATCGCGTCGCCGATTACAGCACCGGCGCTTCGACGGTCACATTTGGGTGGTTGTTTCTTCATCTTCTTCGCTGGAGGCGATTCAACTTCGGAGTTGGACTCCGACTCATTTTCGATGTCGGAGAGCGCCGGTCTGCGAAGCCGATCGCATCTTGGAAGGGTTACATTGGGGCTGGAGAGGGGTGAGCTGCTGTTTGAAACAAGAGCCATGGAATTGCTCCTTTCCTCACTTGCTCGAGCGTCCGGTGGAGGTTTCACTCCAGGAGGCAGACCGGAGAAACGTCCGTCCGCGTACGCTTTATCAAGAAGGAGTGCCAGACTGTCAAATAACGGGAACGGTGTGACACGAAACTTCTTGCAATTCGGTTTTGCCTGCCAAGGAAGACTATGAGTAATGAAATATGTTGTACGCAGTACCGCAAGCACGGGTGCCCATACGTCATTGGGTGCGGTGGGCAGTCCTTGATCGCTGTTCCAACCAAAGCCGGAGTTGTCGCGCAGATATTTGACGTCCTTGTAGTCTTTCTTCAGCTACAATGTTGTAAGATCTCTGCTTGAGTTCATGATGCATACCCATTGGACTAGGGATTTGATTTGCGTCACGAGATATGCCACGGCAAACCGATCGTTGAACCCGCTCGTGACTATGGCCCAAGCCTCCTTCTTGAAACCGGAGTCGGGCCTTCTTCCGTTTTGCACTTGGACTTGAAGAGCTGTGATAATGAACTCATCGCGCTCTGCTGTCCACGTCGCTCGTATGCCTTGCAGCGACGACATTTTCCGAAAAGTGATTGTGTTCTGTCAATTCCCCGCCAAGTGTATGCATTCTGACAAGAGATATTTGTTCTAGCATTGAGTATGATCGCGAAATATGTCTATTCGATTATAGGGGTCACAGAAGTATGACTGATCGGCGCATATTTTGGTCTGTCTGGCAAAACTTCGCTCCAACTCGAAGCAAAATGGCATTATCTCCATTCTGACGTTTTCAAAGTTTCACCAATTTGGGCAAGATCAAAATGTCGTTTTCGCCCATTTTGTTGCCAAACGGACCCTTAGTTTTACCACCTTGCAGCTCCAAGACACTTACGCAGCGTCTTGACCAATGTTGTCCCACGCCTTGAAAATTGCTGTCTTGAGTTCTTCCTTCGTCGAAAATTGACGCCCATGAGCATACACAGCTCGCGCAAGCAGACCCCACATCTTTTCAATTGGATTCAAGTCAGGGGACTTCGATGGCCACTTCATGACACGCAAACCTTGCTCGGCCAAAAAGGCTGTGGTCTCTTTGGATGCATGGATGGATGCGTTATCGTGCTGGAACTCGCAGACTCGCCCAAAATTTATACCCACAAAGGGAAACAAGTACTCAGACAGTGTGTCTACGTACGCAGAGCTGTTCTGGTTCCCCTCCAAAATGGCCAGCTGATTCTCCCCTTTGAACATAATCCACCCCACACCATGACACTGCCACCACCAGATTGTCGCTTAGAAAAATTCGTTTTTCCTTGCGCAAATCGTGCCAGTAAAACTTCAAGCTGTCCGGTCCGTCAAGGTTGAACTTTTTCTCGTAGCTAAATTCGACGGTCGCCCATTTTTGATCGTCCCAGGTTACCTTTTCGCGGGCTCAAACACCCGTTCAACCTTGTGTTGTGGGGTCAGGAATTGTGAGGCCATGACCTTCATGTACTCAAGGTGTTGGGCACTTAGAAGAAGTTGGCGAGCACGGCGTGGCTTAATTCTTAGGTCGCAGTGGTTCACAAGCTCCCAGGAACTCAGGAATGAGTTGGAAGCAGTCCGCAAGTGGTGGCGCACGTCGCTCGGTGTGACCTTTGGTGGTCGTCCAGGGCGCTTGTTCTTGTTGTAAGCTGCTGGGTTGCTTAGAAACAGAGCTATGTCACTTCGAGAGCGTCCTACGAGTCTTTCAATCTCTCGTAGGCTCTTTCCAACGGCGCTCAGTGCCAAAACCATGGCTCTCTCCTCCTCAGACAACTTGGGACCCACTGGCATGACTTCGTGGCGTTTTGAAACAAAACAAAGGCGGGAATCAATTAACAGTAAACTGAATCTGGGGAGTCTAAAAAACGTACTCTTGTGGCTAAAAGACGGTGGAAAGTACATAAAAAACGTTGTGGTTTTATACTTTGCCAGTACCGTTTTTTTATTATCACGTTTTTTTCTGATTTGGCGTTCGCGGTCGCACTCCCGTACACTCCATATTTCAATAATTGTATGGGAAACCTCCAATACATAGTTAATCTTCCCGTACAATTGTTCGATTGTGCGGGAGAGTCTCCCATTCTCAAAAGACACGACTAGCTACCATGGCGCAAAGCGAAAAGCGCCGCAACTGGTCGTGGGACGAGGACAAGGTTTTGCTGATTCAAGCAGCCACAGATGTGGTTTGAGCTTGCTAGGTTGTTGTCCAAGCCTCCCACACACCTCACTGTAGCTGTAGTGTCGTGTATTTGCTCTCATTGCAACGCATCTCTGCTAAATTGGGGGGTGGTCCTAAACTTTTTGGTTTCCGGAAAACGAAACGATCTAACCGGACGCTTGTTCTCACTGTCAACACACTGCTTTGGCGACAACGAGCAAGAATGTGGATCTACCAAGCTGCAAAGCAAGTTCAGGAGAAGGTGCAGGAGCGCGCGACGAGCATTGTCGCGCAAGTGCAAGATGAAGCCCAGTTGCTTCTGAAGACGATGAGTCAAGCGCAAACGAACCCCGTGGACGAGGTACACAAGCCCAGACGTACGCCGAACTCCTTTCATGTGATGTTAGATCATCTTTGAAGAACTGGACGACTACAAGGCCTTTCAAGAAGTGTTCGACTTGGACTTGAAGACTGACGATGTTGCATCTATCTTGCAAAAGGACGAGTTCATCGCAGACTTGCACACGGCGCTCGTTCCGGAACAATTGGCGTACAAGGAGTTCTGGACGCGGTAACAACATCCCCCACTTCGCCACCTCCAATCTCACAGTGGTTAGGTATTACTTTCGCCAATTTTTGCAACTGCAACAAGAGGAAGAGCAGGCGAAGCGCGACGAGGAACGTCGCGTGCAGCTCGAGAAGGAGCGCGAGGCGCGGGAACTTCACCTGAAGGAAGCAGCCGAGGCGTCCGCCCAAGCGGAGCGAGATCGCGCCGAACAACAAGCCAAGGAAATGGACGTCCAGATATGGAAAGATCAAGTCGCGTCGCTTCAAGAAGTGATTTCCAGTTTGGAAAGTGCTGATGCGTCCAACCACCAACTGCTAGCCGACGACTACGAGACAAAGCTGACGCAAATGACGACTCAAATCGACGACGCGAGGGCCATGGGGTACGAAGAAGGCATTGCAGAGAGCGAGCAAATTGTGAAGTCCATCCGCGACAGTGCGCAACTCGAGTTGAAAGAGTTCGAAGCGTACATGTTGACCCTGGCCACGCCATCCAACGAGGCCATGCCTCCACCGCCGCTGTTTGTGTCGACTCACCTAGCTCAAACCATTTGGGCGTTGCATGCGACAAGTCGCGACGGGCCCAGCACTGCTCCCGTGCCGCAGGATGATCGCCTGTCGTCGGACGTGGAGTCGCTGCGACGGGAGAACGACGCGCTCAAGAAAGTGGCCGAGAGTGCGCAGGAAGGGCTCAAAGAATTGGATATGTGGAAAGCGCGCGCGGTCAAAATGAAAAAACTCAAGGATGAAACGGACGCTGCGGCTAAGAAACACGACGACGAGTTGAAAGCAGCGATCGCAACTGCGTTTGAAGACGGACTGTCCAAGGGCAAAGCCGCCATGGCCTTCGAAATCGACGCCCTCCACGCCAAGTTGGAGCAGCACCAAGCCGAAATTGCAGCCCTCACCCAGAAGCTGGCACCCTCTTCTGCCGCTGGTCCTGTGGACGCTGTGCTTACTCCAGGGGATGCCGGTGGCGATGATGGGGCAGCTGATGGGGGCCGCCGGGGTGACGACTGGGGAGAATGGGACTAATTAGGTTCCAAACTCAATATATGACTCGTTCGTGTTTTGCTACGACTGGTGCTGCAGTTGCATGCGTAGGTTTTCGCGCTTCAAGCTCTCGTACGAATCTTTGGCGGGGTCCCAGTTCGGCAAAATGTACATGACACGAGGCCGTGGAGGAGGCCGCGCGCGCATGTCGAGCGTGTCTTGTTCGTGAAATGCTTCAAAGCACGACGTGGTGTACTCGCCAAACGTTTTGGCGCACAGGTGCACTTGGCACGTGAGGCACTTCTTGGTGGTCGTCAATTCACGGCGGCGGCCGCTGGTGCTGTCGGAGAAGCACATGACGCAGCTGCCCTTGGGGCCACTGAGCACGCGGTGTGGGTACGTCGAGTTGAGCCGGATGTCTCGGCCGACCTTGGAGTTGTAGAACCGCCGACGGCCTACCTTTGGGATCTCCGGGAGGTTCGTCGGGGGCAACACGACCACCTACAAAGCATAAGAACATACACTTCAGATCCCGACGGTCGGACGGACACGCGGTGGAGGACGGATGGGCTGGGGAACTGGATGCGACGAGGCGGCATTCTGTGACGTGGTGTGTCAACGACGTTCGAGCAATGGCAACGAACCTCTGCAGGCGACTGCGATGCACCCGACGACAAGTGAGATGGTTTCGAGGCGATGCTGTCGATCGAAGTGGACTTGGCAAGAAGTTCCTGTGGTGTGGTGGCAGTGGGTTAATAGTACATTGGGTAGGGCCAACACCATTTTCATTCGAGGACCTACATGGATAGCTCGAAGCAGTTTGACTCGATGACCATACGCCCATATTTTCAAGTCGTCTCGAAGGATTTCGTTCGTAAGCGTGGACAGCACATCTACACAGGTCGAGTTCAGGCACTTGTGCACAACATAACTATCATCGATCGAGGGCCTCCCACCTCCGGTGATCTCATTCACAGAGAATGTCTAAGCGTAGCATAGTCAGCACACTTTGAAATACATCGTCGCACATGCAGCTCCTACCTCTTTGAAGTTGTCAAAGCCAGCTTCACCGAGCCACAGGACTACTTGCTCACAAGTCCATTCGGTGACGACAGTCATCGACGTGCCAGCATGAATTGTGACATTTACGAACTGTTTATCCGGTCCGGATAACGCGTCTTCTTCGCACCAACCGTCGCTACGGACACAGAACTTTAAGTGCGAAATCCAAATGACCATATCAAGCGTTCAACTTAACGAGTACTAACGTTAGCCAAAGGATGCCGCTCGTATGTCGGACTATTAAGCTCGATTCTGCATCACGTTGCTATTCGTCACTTAACGCCTGTATGTACCGTTTACTTCCGGGGTTTTTGACTGATTTCGGCCAAAATCTTGGAGGTCAAGAGCGTCATGACGGTGCTTTCTTCAGGCGTAATGTTTCCCGCGGCCGTCCATCGAACTCGGCCTTTGGCGTCTACCAACTGCACGTATCCGACAAATGTGTTGGTCATGTCCATGGCCGCGCGGAATTCGTTGCATTCGCCATAATAGACCAGGGTCAAACCGTACTGCGACTCGGGCACTTTGGTGCGCAACCCCTTGCGAATCATGCCCGGAAAGAGGCGGACATACCATTCTTCGATGATGTTGAGCTGCACGATCTGAACCATCGAGTTGTCCTCGCCAAGGGCATTTTCAAACGCCTGCCGCCAACCCGCCAGGTTGTCGAACCCCGAGTTCTTGAAGCACGTGAGAAGCAACGTCAGCTTTCCGCCCGTGAGATTCTTTACGTCGTAGTCGGACCCGTTCAAGTTTTGGACTTTGAGCGAGGGCACTTCGGGGGCCTGGGCGACTGGGGTCAGCTCCATCTTGGACACCTAGCGCACACAATCAACAACTCGGACTGGACGATGCCTCGTGCATACCACAACTTTGCCATCCGTGTCGTTGTACTCCTTCATTTCTTTGAATTTGTTGGGCATGTACACCTTGGGTTTCTTCGCATCGATGTCTTGCATCATTTCGTCCATGGTCTTCATGGCAACTCTCCAGTTTTCAACGACGGACTTGTCGGCTTTATACTTGAGTGGCCCTACGCGGATCATGTCAGAGATGGCGTCAGAAGGCACACGATATGTGTACCATCGGTGGGCTTCGACACAAGCTTTGGTCGAGGTGGTAGCACATACGGCGCCTTATCGCTATCACTCGTCATGCCTCGACTGGACATGAGACCAGTTGTAGACAAGCTGGTCGCGCATAGAAAGGTGGGGCCAACAGCATGTCGTTTTGCGGCTCTGGTCAACATGTTGGTGGATCAAAGACCGATGGTGCGGAAACGAAATTTTAACGTTTTCGTGAAAAAATGCGCAATAATTTCATTTTTATCAAAATGGAGAATGGTATGTGGCATACTCCTGATTATTACCCAATCAGAGTGCATTATGGTTTCTTTGCCAGACGAAACTGGGTCAATTTGCCCACTAGGCACTGCAAGATGCTCACGAGCTGTGTCGCTCAGCCCAGCCAGTAGGGTAGTCATAGGAGCAACTCCGATTTAAATTGCGGTGCATTTACTCGTACCAACCGTGCTTCTGCTAGCACCTCACTGAGATGTCCATGCTTGCAATTGATTGGTGAACATATTTCAAATTCTAGTCAATGATTGGTTCCTCTATTTTTCCGTAGATCACAAAACGAATTAAAATGGCCGATTTGCCGCCTTGCAGTAAAAATTTGCCGTTTCCGGTAGATACCAGTACTACAGTAGTTAGTACCTTTGCATCATTGGGGTTGCCAAAACTGCATATCTGACCCCAAAAACGATAAAATAGCGTTTACTTTCGCACCATTGGGGGTGATGGTAGTTCTACCCATCATTTCCTCATTTAGACTTGGAATCTTGGTTTCGGCCAGAGTATACAAAACAACGACTAATAATAAGGAAACATGATAATGAGGCACTCGAGAGTACGATGAGTCGCTAACATGAGCATTTAGCTGATGCTGGACAATGAGTCGCTAACATGAGCATTTAGCTGATGCTGGCGTAAAATTATTTTTGTATCTCGCACAATCATTTATTGCAATTGTCCAGCGCTTGGAAAATAAATAGTTTTCTGCATTTTTTCGTCAATTATTTTTTCCCATACCCTGGGTGACGTGCACCATAGGAAATCCAGGAAGTGACTTTAGAAGCTCAACGCCCATGTGATTACTTGACTTTTGCCACGACGCAAAACTACTGTAGTACGGGTATCTCCACTAATGTTGTTACGATGCGGTAGAGAAGCAGAGCCTAGCGCAATATAACGATCCTATTGGCCAATTATTTCACGTCACTATCATATACTACGTAGTAATTCGACAAAACCTTGGTCATCAAAAAGATGCCTTGGAATGAATTTAGAAATATCCCAACGTAATTTTGATTTCGTTCAAATTAAAAAGCGTTTACTTCGAAGTATAATTAACAGTAAAGAAAGAAAATCACGATATTAATAGTAGTATCAAACTATTCAACATTGAATTGACATGTGAGCTACCAAAACTACAGTCAACCGTGTAGTACAATCACGGAAACTCATGAAACTTTATAGCGGAATCCGTGAAAAGCGCAGCTCTCACGGAATTGGATAATCATAAGAAGTAGAGGTTATCCGAACAGGAGGGGTTGCATTCGGTGGTTTCGTGTGCTGTGCGCAGGTGGAGAGGCCAACCACGAGCGACCATTCCTCCAACATCTAGTCATGAAGTCTTGGGGGAGCTCGCGTGCAACTTGCTTAAAGTTCCTGGCTTCTCTTGCCAGGAACTCGAAGTTGACGGCAAGAAAACATCGCACAGGTTCCACCTGATCCTCGACAACCACGAAAAGTTCCAGAAGGATTCTGTGTATTTGTATGGTGTTGGCCGACGGTAGGAATGTGCGAGCAGAAGTCTGCGATGACGGGCAGGCTTCGCGAAGCGAGAACGCTTGACAACCATGACAAGTTCTTACACAGGAGGCTGCGGGAAATAATCAACTCTACGATCCTCAAACGATATGGCAGTACGTTGTTCATCATCACCATACAACACGCTAGAATCAAATCGACTTCAGCCTGAGGAAGAAAGCAGCGGTCACTACTTTTAATTGCCATTTTGAAGGATTGGCATCTTTCTCAATCTATTGCGCTGACTTGCTGGACTCCACACTACGCGGTTGCATAACGTTTATTAGGGCCCGTCTGGATACCACTTTTATTGAGAAATATCGCGATAATTTTGCAAAATATTCAAGAATCTCAGCGACCTCAATTTGGCGTGTCTGGATGCCACTTCTTGACCAAGTTATATTCCATAATTTTATCAGAAATATCGTGAAAACCACAAGAAATAATATTCTACTCATGAGTAGAATATTTTGACGATATTGACATTGCGATTTGAATTGTGGGGCATTTCGGAATGAGAAAGGCCATATTGACAGTGCGCGTTGAATTGACAGGACATTTCGGAATGAGAAAGGCCATCGTGATTGCCTTCCTAAGACGTCGATGGCTCATCCGCCGCCGCCTGGCCAAGGAACTCTTCGCCAGACAGATGGAGTACCACTACCTCGCCTTCGTCCACAAGACACCAAAGAGGACGTCCATCCATCCTCAGTGGTCCTCTCTGGGTGGACGAAGTCCTCTGCAGCTCTGCACTATCCTCTGACTGGCTGTTCATTTCCGACCTTTCTTTTATTCTACATCCAGACACACCACCCCAAAATCACCCCCTTGGATCTTGAAACCCAAGAATTTCCTGCAATGTCGAAAAATGTTTTTTATTCAATATTCCAATATCCCATAATATTGGTGGGTGGCATCCAGACGGGCCCTAAATTATGACATCCTCATTTTATATTAAAAATACGTAACGGTATTCTCGTGGAATGTAGTGTGGATTTGGATACTTTTCCAAACAGCATCGTAACTGGCGGCCAAAATTTGAAGTCCATACTACGTATACGTTTTGAACAGCGAATACAAAGTAGCCTTGCATCAAAACTCGACGACTCCTTTGTCTAGACATACGTTTATCCTCGCTTATGTCGCCAACGATGGCTATGTTCGTCGTTTCCCGCAGTCTCCAGACAGCATATATTGCAAAGTAGCTGATTCGTTAATAGGGAGATTTCGCAATTCACTGTCAATCCGTGTTCGCGATTTTCTGAGAAAAGGACAGTGGTACTGTTTCAGGAGCGAACAAGACGTGCCCCGAGAATCATTGTGACGTTTATTGAAGTTTCACGGGTAGAAACTGTCGTCCACCTCAAAACGTAACTTTGCAATTTACCTCGTCTTGACCTGATGGCCAACATTCTTGCGTTCCTCACGGTGTTTGCCGCCATGGCCAGTGCGACAGTGAACCAAACCGACGACCACCGGGCTCATATTTACGACTTCGAAGTACGTGCAATAACCGTGATTTTCTTGGTACATGACAAGTCCAACCCGTCGCCCCAGCCAAGGGACCCGCATTTGGGAATTAGGTCGACAGATATATCAACCAACCGAAGTGTAGCCCGGCAAGCACTTGGGGCACACAACCAACTCCCATTTTTCGCACTTGTCCTGCCGTGGTCCATTTGGCAGCGTTGGAACATGCCGCTGTCGTTGAGCGAGTCGCCAAACTTCCACGGGTACCCAACCCCCCGGCCGTATTCACTGTTGCGGCAAAACAGTCCTTGGGCGGCGAGCCCAGCGGGGCAGATCGAGTGGCAGTCGAGGCCTTTGCGGGTCGTGCCCACTGGACACTTGTCGTAGCACAGCAGACCCAGGCGCTTTTGTCCGGCGGCTCACGATTCCGGCACACGGCCGCGTGTCCGCGTTGCCTTCCAGCAAAAATATGAGGCCGTTTCGAGCTGGCGGTCGTCGGTTTGGTTCACGGTCGCACTGGTCATGGCGGCAAACGCAGTGAGGAAGCAAGAATGTTGGCCATCAGGTCAAAGCGAGGTGAATTGCAAAGTTACCTCTTGAGTTGGACGACGCGCGCGCCTCCAGTTTCTACCCGTGAAAAAACTCCAATAAACGTCACAATGATACTCGGGGCACTTCTTGTCGTACTTGAAAGGGGTGCCCCAGCCTTGAGACCTTGGTCGAGGAGTCTTGCCGACGCAAACAGGCTCGTAAGGAGCTCTAACGAGGTGGCACATTAGTGGGAAAAAGTCGGACAGGATATACAGGAACCAAGTGATCGTCGGACCGTTTGTCCGACTTTCTTGTTCGTTGTAATATTTTTTATATACAAAAGCGAAGT